TTATTTCATCAAATTCAATAGTAATAATGGAGATTTAAAACATTTTAATAAAAAAAATCAGTATCAAATAGTTTCTGAAATGTCCGACATGTCTCTGGCCCAGCATAATTTTTCCCAACTTGTCAACAAACATAAACTGAACTTCCCATAGACAGCATGCCTTTTCCTCCTTCATTATAGTCTTTGCAAAAAACAGTATTCCTTCATCAAAGATGTTCTGTTCTTTGTTAAATGGTCAGAATTTGAAATTTAAACTAAATTCTATGAAATGTCACACAGCCTGTGTGCATTCAAAGTCAAAGAAAATATATGTTGTTTGTGTTTTGTATTTTGTTTTGTCTTCAGTTGTGGTTTCATCTTGTTCAACAAGTTGCATATAGCATAATTGATAATCCGTCACATAGACCTTACACGTACTACAATAGTGTTACACGTAGATGTGTTCTTTTTTATGCTTTGAACAGTTAATAAGTGGACCACAATCCATGCACTGGTAGTACATTTCACACATAGATTTTCCCAGTTCTGTCTTCCTTCTATGTAATTCAAAGCAGAGTTCATTTATAAATTTACAGTTGCATGTTTCGCAGTATTATCAGTCTTCAGACACATCATGGCCTTGTCATATGCTATTCCACTTTGGATGCTTTTTCAACTCGAGTAATGGCAGACACTTATGCTCTCGCACAACAAAGGTTGTCCTTATTTTTAATTTCAATTATACTTGTCTTGTTTTCTAGCATGTGTGCAATGTCTACTAAGGGTTTCATTCTGTACTCATGGTTAAAGATGATCTTGGCACGAATCGTAACACGATTGGATAGTCCAATTCAGTGTTTATAATCCTAAATTATTAGATGGTATGTTTTCAGTTATCTCTGTCATAATAGATTGAAAAATTACTTTCAGAGTTTTTAAAGTGTTCGGTATATCTCTCACTTCCAAGTCCTTTATTTTATATTGTATGAAGAAGCAGTTGTGTTGAACTTTTCGATTTTCTTTTCATTAAATTTTCTCAATGCTGTAAAAGTCTACTGCATTATCCTTTGGTGTTAACTTTTGTCTTTTGCCCTCATTTATGTCATCAGGTTCATCAACGAGGTCCATAAGTTTTTCTACCTCCTCCACTTTGATTTCGATGCTCCAGTGCATCCTTCCTCGTAAAAACACGTAGACATTCAGGACAATGATGGGTATTATCATCAGCAAGTTTAATCATGTGACGATCAAGATTTTGCTTTCTGGTAAAGGTTTTCTTGCAGCTAGCACAACACGTCTCACACCTGCATCTAGGCTTCCATGCTGCCGCATGATATGCCTGTTGACTTGGTGATGTTTAGCTTTATTGCGATCTCCCTCCTCGTCAAACACTAATACATCTCTCCTCAATATCCTGCCTAAAGATAGAACTTGCTCATCTAAGAAATTCTGAAATATAAATAAAAATAAGAGGAAGGACTTTGCATATACAGGTAATGCTAGAGGATGTGACAGAAATAAAAAAAAAAATTCTAGCAATTCAACACCAAATCTTGTTGTTATACTATTTATGATGAAAACGAAAACAATAAATTCATCTTAATCTTTTGACTATTACAATTAATCACTAGTCAGTTGTTGCACTGAAGCAAATATGCATAGAAGAGACATTGTCTACTAAAGAATGAATAAAGAGGAAATGTATCATTATATACAATGAAAAATACATTTATAACTTACAGGAAATGAGTTAATACATTCTTCCATTCCGCAACAGAGCTTTTCTGCCTCTGTTAGCATCTATCTGCACTTAGTGCACACACACCATATCGGCAAGTTGATGCCAGGTGACGGGAGCCTCAAGGTTGTCTGGTTGCAGGGTGCATAATGTTGAAGACCAACCCTGGCTGAGCAGACACCATCTCCAGGCAAAGCTGTCTTAAATCTTCCACATCCATTCTTGCAATTTCTTCCTGAAATTGAAAAAGATACAATCATTCCTTTAATATAAATGAACAAGAGGGCCCTGAAATCACACACCTTCATATAAAAACTCTCCATGACAAGAAACAAGTAATATTGTAAACTATTGTACCAGGCTCTTCTTTTTGTAATTTGTATGTGATGTTTTATCACATAGAATAGTTTTCTAAATAATTTTGCTGCATAGTGGAATTAGGAATACCGTAAAATTCCTATTAAATGCCCCCGGGGGCTAAACATTTTCCAAAAGGGGGGCTATTATTAAAACACTTTTTCCTAAATCCAAAAATCATTGTAAATACAATTAGTGTTAGCAAGTGTTGGTAATAGCATTAAATTTTGTTAAGGTTTTAAAGTTCATATGATACATTTTTGTGTTTACTTTAAAATAAAATGGATTCTGAATGATTTGAATAAAATTATGGATATACTCATGAGTTCAGCACAGATGAGTAGATTTTTTCCATATCAAAAAGCCGGGGGGGGGGGGGGCCCTTTATTAGGGCAGGGGCGTTTATTAGGAATACAAGACAAATGAACAAGCTTTTAAGTTCAAACTATAGATTTAATTGTGTGAATTAATATGTAATATATATAGAACCTATGTTATCTGATTAGGATTACTTTAAATTTATTTTACTAAAGTTTATTGAAAGAATTGCCATACGATATTTAAATAATAACTAATATTGATTTTGCAATAAGCATAAATAAAATGATGAGAAATAAATTCTCAAATTATAATGAAGCACTAAGGCTTCGAACCGATACACCTAGCTAACAAAATGAAGAAATGCATGAGCTTATATAGAAAATACGACATGCAAAAATCATGTGACTAAATAAACAATTAAACATTGGATTAAAATAGAGTGAAATAACCAATGAATGAAGCCATAACAGATTAACTTTTGACCAACTGTCATGCACTGGATAGAAAGACAATAAAAAAGACAAATAAAACCAATAATCTGGTTTTCTATTCCTAAAATGATAATTTAGATAAGAGATTATCAAAATGTTTTAACTCTTAAGAGGAATTCAAAAAATACTATGACAAGAAGCCAAATTAGCACAAAAAAACCCAACCATATAACAAACAATAGAAAAGAACAAACAAATGTCAAGATGTTTGGAATTTTCAAAAATGTAATTTTTGTTATATTTGCACATATAAAAATATCTCACAAATTCCATATTTAATGTCTCATAAATTAGTACTGTAATTTAATTATATATTACTGACATGGTACTTTAATAGGCTTAGTATAACAACATCAGTCTAAAGCAATTTTGAGTTAACACCAGGATGCACAGGCTTGCCTCCTCTCTTTCTTCATATTGCCGAGTACTTGTTTCTCCGTATACACATTCTATGTAGATAAAAGAAATGATGAGTCTGTGTCATATTGTTAACAATCTTCTTGAAGCGACTCATCCAAGCGAAAAAGTTGCTCTGCTGCCATAGTATTCACATTTTTTTCATTCTCTTCAAGAACTTTGTCTGGATTGTATACATTTTGACAAAGTTTGTCTTTGTGTTTTTTAATAATGTAGCCTGTCTATTATTTTTTTAATGTATGTCCACATTTTCAGCCTGTCTATTATTTTTCTAATGTATGTCCACATTTTCAGCCTGTCTATTATTTTTTCTAATGTATGGCCACATTTTCAGCCTGTCTATTATTTTTCTAATGTATGTCCACATTTTCAGCCTGTCTATTATTTTTCTAATGTATGTCCACATTTTCAGCCTGTCTATTATTTTTCTAATGTATGTCCACATTTTCAGCCTGTCTATTATTTTTTTAATGTATGTCCACATTTTCGCCAGGTGGCCAGGTAAAGGGACGTCTTCTCATGCAGCCTTCAGTCTGTCTAAATTGCATGTTATCATAGGAAAGAATATATTTCCTCAGTTTCTCTTCCATTTCATGTTCAGGAACATCTTTTAGATCATTTATTATATAAAATCTGGATAATCAACATGAAAACTTGACATTGACTTTCACTTCTGTAAAAGAAAATTTGAAAAATGAAAACATTACTGGATTTTCCATAAGGAATTAAAAAAAATGACAATGTATTTAATTTATTTAATTTATTAAATTTACATGCCTTGAAGGACATCTGTGTGCAGAATGTCTTTACATATTTTCAACTAACATTAGATGAAATAAAGACTCTTGTTTCATTTACTGCCATACAGAACGATATGTACCAGTACTGACCAAACTTTGTTTTGTAAACAATGACATCTGGACTAATGTATCAGCCTTTCTGTTATTAACCACTAGCAATGATAATACTTAAATAACCATTTTCAATAACCAATGTATGAAAATAAATGTGTGCTCCAATGAGTGTTACTTTAAAAAAATCATCAAAATTGCTGCATAAAACAGAATCTAATATGAGATTAGAAAAAATGCTGATGAAATTCCCTCAAAAACTTACTTGTAGATAGGATTAAAGTGGAGAATATTTCCTCCACGGCTTACAGCCGCAAAATGTCCACATGCTCTCTGCCTCAATCGTCCCTTTTCTCCAGTATCTCTGTTGCATGTTGTTTTAGGGCTGATAGCATTAAGGATTCCAGCTTCGTATCTGTTTATAAATTCAGCAGTTCCTGTAAATGAAATAAAATTCCAAGATTGTAATATATACTATTGTCCTTGACACCTCTTGTTCCTGAAAGTTGCATCCCCTAACCCCGATATTTTGCATTTGCAGACATTTTCCTCCAATTATATTTTAAAAGGTAGGACATTTTGCCGACTAAAAATGAAGGGCAGATATTTGCTCCCCCCTCCCCAGATATATTTAATAGTATGAAAGACGGGCATTCAGATGACACTTTACTTTCTTTTTGTAAAGCTTCTGCTACATAGATTGATTGAACATTATCTATTAATTAGTAAGTTCAGTGATCTTAACCCTTTACCTCATATATACGCAAAACAATGAACTTTCGACCCCCCCCCCCTTTTAGACCTCAAATAATGAAAAAATGTCCTATTTGGGCCCCAAACACATGTTTTCGTAAGAGAAATGTTGCTAAAAAAAGTGAGCACTTTTTTGGCGCCGCCCCCCATCCAAAAGATACATCAGGGGGTTGACAGAAGGGGGAACTTCTGTTTTGGGGGTTTGAAGGGGGGCGGGAGTCCCCCTCATCGCCAAGAAAATTTTGGACTTCGATCATAAGGTAACGTGTAACCAACCCCGAAAAGCCTTTGACTCTATCTCAATCCATTGAGAAGTTGCAGCACTTTGAAATCAATTTTGATGGAAAAAATCAAGGCAAAAAAGTGATTTTTGGCAACTTTGAGATGTCCCCTTGTTGCCATGGTAACAGGAAATTTAAGCATGAGCATGTCGTTACAAAGGCAATGGTCCAGTCAACATTTGTGCAAAGTTTGATTAGTATTAAAACATTTTTCAAAGTTTCATAGCAGTTTGAATTTGTAACAGGAGGCTTTTCAATGAAAACGGCCATTTTTCACAATATGCTCATGAGGGAAAGGGTTAAGCAGATGTCAGTTAATGATTATAGCCTACTAGTGCATATATTGTTTATTGGGAGAATTGTATATCAAGGGTTCCTGAATTGTATCTGATGTCTGTTTACCTAATGTTGTCGAGGTAATTTAACTCCTCAGGAGTAAAACTTAAGATGCCACCAAGAATATCTGTCTTCCCTTTCCTTCTCTCCTCCTGATCTCTTACTTTCTTTTCTTCCTTCTCTCTTTCTTAATGATACACAACTTAAATCTGTATATTATAAGTTATAATACAGATGTCTTGTTAGTAATATAGCCAAGTATAAATAGTTTTAACATCAACTCACCAACAAAGTATAGGCCATATGGCGACTATCCAGCTTTACTGGTGCAGGAAGACCTCCGCATTACTTCATGAACATACAGGCATCTGAATAGAACCACCGAACTCCCGTAAGCTAGATACAGTTGACAGCTTATTGTTCCTGTAAAATGTATATAATTCACAACAACCAGGCTGTTGATCGTTATGTTTTCTTCTAAACCTCGTAACACTGCCATTTCCTTATCTGTTCACATAGTGAGAATGTACGTTATTTAATATAAATAGCTAGCCCTTACCTTTTAATTCGCAACTTGATTTTTCTGATGTCCCGTTTTCTAGGCAATTGATTTTCTTTTGAATTGCCTCATACCCAGGATCACATCTAATAATAGTCGCTGTGGATCCTATTGTTGTCACAGATATTTTGTTCAGCTTCACCTTGCCATTCCGAAAAAAGTTTCCTTTCCTTCTCCTTTTGCTGGAACTCAATTCTCTCCTCAGCTGTAGGACTTTAATATGTTACCCGTCCTTCTGTAATTCACATTGACTACTCTTTTTAGTTCACAAGAGTGTCTTTGGCCAAACTGACGGGAATGTTGCCTCCCGTCAGTTACCCTCTGAAAAGTTCTGTTACAGATCATACATTGGTATGTGGTGATGATTGGGTGGTGGAATCTTGCCCAGTGTTCCAAGAATCAATCATATCTGGTAAAAATTCTGTTCGGCTCACAACCTTGTACTGGGCACGCCCTACCCTCCATCTGCCACAGTGGTCTAATTGATGTATCATTCAACATAGCTTGAGCCATAGTACTAAACTGAAATGTAGAATTAATATTAAAAAGATCTTCAACTATCATAGACATAGATTACTATAAAATGGAAATTTATTACACTTTCAATTAATGTACAATTGTTACTATATATCAAAATATTTTCAAAATCTAAGGGAGGCAATTCTTTCATTACAGGGTTTACTTCCCTTCATCTAAATATTTACAATTTACATAATTATGATTTTATTAATGCACATACGCATTGATATGAAACACCCCGATACACCTAGCTAACAAAATGAAGAAATGCATGAGCTTATATAGAAAATACAGCATGCAAAAATCATGTGACCAAATAAACAATTAAACATAGGATTCTGTTTCTAATGACACAATTTCTTCTACTTTGCATGTGGCGTTAAAATAGAATGAAATAACCAATGAAAGAATCCGTAACTGATTAACTTAGGCATGAACGATAAAATGGCTGCGCCAATGAAATAACAATTGTTGAATGCAGCATAAGTAAAAACAAAAACAATTTAATTTAAATATGCATTTAAGATGCAAACTATTACACTATAAATAAAAACATATAAAATCTAATCTGTCATTCTAATCTGTCATCCTCAGCTGACTTAGCCTTGAGTCCTCCTTTTTTTTTGGTGGTACTGGACATGTCCATCCACTTTTTCTTTACTTCAGCAGTTTCCCTCCTCACACCAGACACATTGACTGCATTTATACTGAAATAAAATAGTTATATTTACAACTATTATTAAATAGAAAACATCAAGTTATTATAATTGAGATAAAGCATTTGAGCTGTGTCATGACAAAACCAACATAATGGGTTTGCGACCAGCATGGATCCTGCCATGGCCAGCCTGCGCCTCCGCGCAGTCTGATCAGGATCCATGCTGTTCGCTATCAGTTTCTCTACTTGTAATAGGGTTTGTAAGCAAACAGCATGGATCCTGATCAGACTGCGCGGATGCGCAAGCTGGTCTGGATCCATGCTGGTCGCAAACACATTACGTTGGTTTTGTCGTGACGCGGCTCATTCAAATTTTTTTTTTGGATGTTTGAATGAGTAAAAAGTCATGCAGTAAAATGGGTCAAGAGATTTTTCAGTAGGCTTTTGATATTATCAAAAGAAATCAATGTCTATCAATACCTCTCCTCAACTAAATGAACAACCCCTAAATGAAGTCTTACATTTTAATAACTTAAATAAGGAGCTCCTGTAAATAAGCATTTCTACGATTGTCTATACATGTATAAAGAATGTAATTGATGATTCACAAGGTCAAGCGCACCAGCGTTAAAAATAGACGTCTATATATAGAATCCAACAAGAGAGAAAATTGGGTCATACATGTCAACTTACGCTCAGTATTGCTTTCCCAGCATTTCATATTCTAGGCATTAGATAGCCCTGATATCACAGTTCAATTTTACAACTAAAACTGTGCACATAGTCCAAATTTCATGGCTGTACATCATAGTTTCAACGGAAGTTTCTGTTTTTCGTTTTCCATGCCGGCACACTCAAACTGAAATAAAAAATTAAGTGATGGAATATAAGGGAAGTAACTGTACATATTACAAACTTCATTCTCACCATTCCTTATACTGTATAGCCGATTAGGTTCATTCAAACATTTATTAATTTTTTTATTTATTATTTTTTATTCATGAATTTATACGTAAAAGGGCCGAAGGAGAAAAGATTGATAAATTTGGACCTCCATATTTCCCAGTTATTTCCCTTTTTTCACTTTGAAAATAGGGCCTTGTCTGGTTAACCTATTTCGGCAAGTTGGATTTATCTTAAATTTCTCCTAATTGCTTAATTTCTTTAATGATATCTTTCATATTTAGTAGGTGGATACCTTTGATGGTCCTCTAATTTTTTGTGGAGTAAGCGGTCACTAGGGTCAAGGTCACTGGTTTAATAAATAAATATTAACATTTTTGCTCATACAGCCTTTATTTTTTAGTTCATGTCTTAGTTTAATACAAACATGTCAAGGGAGGTCCTCCTTTTGGTGTAGTAAGGGGTCATTTGGGTCAAGGTCAATGTTACCAATGTCAAGGTCACCAATGTTAAAAATAGATTTTTACATTTTTACAGGTGTATTGACCTTATTCTATTGACAGATGTTATTTATAATTGATAGAAACATAAACTTTGATGGAGTAAGTGGTCAGTTGGGTCAAGGTCACCAGTGCTAAAAATAGATTTTTACACATTTGCTCATACAGCCTTTATTAAGTGACAGATATATTTTATATTTGGTAGGAAGATAACTTGCATGGTATTCTTCTTTTGGATAGAGTTAGGGGTCAGTTGAGTCAAGGTCATCAGTGCTCAAAATAGATTTTTACACTTTTGCCCATACAGCCTTTATTTAATGACAGATGTATTTCATATTTGGTAGGAAGATAACTTGCATGAAGTTGAATATTTTTCAACTTCACAAGTCAGAGCAATGACTTGGCAACTTATATTTTTCACAATTACAAAATGCCATGACTTTGTCAAGCTATATAACTTGTGTTTACAATTTTTTGGCAATTTTTCTGTCCATAACTGAGTGAATGGGTAAACATTTTTTGAAATATATCTACTGACAAGAATCTGAGCCGGGGGCATTTGTGTTTAACAAACACGTTCTTGTTTTTAACTTGCAATTGGTTTTGTGAAACTGACTTAATATTTCACTTACGATTATAGTAAGTCAAAAGACTTGAGATAATTAAATCGTTATAAGATTTTTTGTGAAAATGTCTGCAGGTATAATTGTCACTGAGCAGTCTATCTTCTGGACAGCAGGAGGGTTCACCAGGCCACAGGGTCCTTTCTTCTGGCTTTTCATGATCACTTCCTACATGCCATTGAAATTCTTCTTATTCTCGCTTATTACCCTGCAATACATGTATTTCGAGATTATCTAATTTTTAAATTCCTAAAAAACACAAGAACGTTAAGAATCATTTATAATATAATTGTAGTAATAAGTCAGAAACAATTTAATAAAATATTTCAGTCTGGATGACAAAACTTTCTGATATACCTTATTACATTTCACTCATGCAAATCGAGAAGGCACAGTACCAGTTTATTGCCTAAATGGATCAGGGTATTTGTTCCTGATGACCCAAACCCCACAGGATGGCAAAACATGTCTCACACCTGCACCAAGGCGTCCATGCTGCCAGATGATGTACTGGCTGTAACCTTGGTGATTGTTAGCTTTATTGCAATCTCTCTCCTCATCAAACACCAAAACATCTCTCCTAAATATCTTGCCTAAAGACAGAACTTGCTCATCTAAGATCAAAATGTTGAAATTCAGAAATATAAATAAAGATAAGATGAAGGACATATAATGCTAGAGGAAACGACAGAAATAATAAAGTAAAAAATTCATTTCTAGCCCTCAGGGATCTTGATTTTCCTAATATCAGTTTTGTTAACAAAAACAGATATAAAATCTAAATCTTTATCTGATACCACAATGTTCATATTTGTATCCGAAATAGTGCATGTGTAAAATCATTACTGGTTGCTACTGCTAAGGGAAAACAATAGTTCCAAAAGATGTGTACTAACTATAAGGAAAATCAAGATCCCTTTTAACCCAAGGACTTTTATTTGAACAAACTTGGTAGACACTCACTAGAAGATTCTTCATGCTAAATATCTAAGCTCTAGCCCTTTTAGCTATTTTAAAAGAATATTTTTGTTTTTTTATGTTTTTACTTTAGGACAATCAGTGACAAATTTGCTCATAAGTTTGATTGGCCCCTTTTAAACTGGGAGTATTTCCTCGCCCATTTCAAGATTTTCTTTTAAAAAGCTGTTATTTCTGCCCTTTCGTTGTCGTTATTGCTCTCTTGTTGGGCCTCATTCTGGCCAGCTAAGAATGAGGCTATTTTGTTATTACTCAGGATGAGGGACTTTCTGTCTCCATCAGTTTAATGCGTTTTGATGGTGTTTTTGTCATTTCTTCTTTCAGTTTTCTATTGTTCTTTATTGAAATTATTTATTGTTTCATCAATTCCATAGAATCATGCATGATTTTGATAGATTCTGTGATATCCGAAATCTTATGATGACACCTTCATAAGATGATATTGTCTGGTTTCCCATGGTGGCTAACCGTGAAAAGATGTTTTGATACTCATGAGCATTTTGACTGTCTTCATCATTTCCACCCTGGCTCTCTTCCAAGTTTTTCTGTAAGATAAAATGCTCGCTATGAATTTTCGGGTTGATGAAGGCTCAGGAAAATTGAGCAATGTTTTAGAAATATTTTAGGAATATTATGTATGATTATAAAAATACTATGTCTATTTAAGATGAAACTGGTACTGCTAATACTTTTTGTATCCTCCTTAAATTTACTGAAAACACATGCTGTTAAATTGACATAATCTATGTCTTTTTCAAATTGATATTCTCAACTGTGAATTCCTAAACCTGAATTCCAAAACGGTGCACGACATTTCGTCGAAAGACATGTCGAATGCGACAGTTTGTCAGATATGACATTTGGTGGAATACGTCAGTTTGTCAGCACTGAAACTAGAGGAATGATGGAAAATAATTTGCAACACTACGACAATTGATCAAAAGTAGCCACGAGTGAAATATGGTAATTTTCATGCCACAAGATGAAAATAAATCATGTATTTATAGAAAAAACTTGAATTTTCTGTTTATTATATACATTTTTCTCTTTTTTGACATTAAAATTTGAAAGACTTTCCCTTAAATTTTGTGTACTGGCAGAATTTAAAAGAAAGTAGTCCGGCAAGACACCAGTGAAAATACGGAAAATATGTTTCACTGCAGTGAAAAATAAATTTTTTACAGTGAAAATACGAAAAATGAAAATAAGCATTTTATTTCATCAATATTTCTCAATATTTCATTTATAAGTATACAGTCGAGACTGTCATATGTGACTTTCCAAGGGATCTTCAGAAAAAGGTCGCATATGACAGGGAGTCTCTAAATACAGTCTCAAAGAAAATTAAATTTAAATATCATCTATCTGTCTATATACCAATGTGACTTACAGATCCTGTATGTTTTGTGATTGATATTGTTACTGTGTTTACGTATCTTGCCAAAAAATATATATTGATATAATTATGCAAATAAAACAATTTTCAAACATCAAAGAATATGTAAAATGTGTACTGCAAATATTTGTTCACATTATATTTAATGAATAAATTACATGCATTGATTTCTTATTGGAAAATTTGACTTAGAATTTATAGAAAATAAAGTTCTAATTACCTCCCTTTAATGGCCTTTATTTACATGAAATGTTAAATTGGGTGGTATCTTTATAAATAATGCTAATTTGAACTTACAATATTGACAAATCTTAATTTGAGCATCATATTTCTGAAATAATACCATGAAAAAATTGTGTTACAGGATCTTTAAACAATTGTCCATATCCAAAGCTTTTTCTGGTTCGGTATCAATATATTTTCCGTATTAATTATGCAGCCATAGAAAGGTAAATTAAAAAAAAGCTGCCTAAAAAATCTTCCGTGGGCACTCTATAATTAAAAAAAAATCTAACACAAGTACTCAGGCCATTACACACACACATCGATTACATCATGCTTTCCATGAACAGACGCTACGTCACTTGGTACCTGCATGTATCTACCGGTATATACACGCTAATTGTGTAATTGAGATAGAGGTGTGTAGACTTTGTTTGCTACAGTGCTGGATTATAATTGGACTTAATTATTTTGGCCCTCTGGGTGTTAAAATAGGTATTCTTTTTCTGATTAACGGATAATAAAAAGGTGTGAAAGTCGTTTAAATCAGACAAAACATTGCATTGGGACCAGACAATTAAGGTCGCTTGTCACATATGACAGGGAGTCGTTTAATTCAGACCATTTATATAGGAAAATACGTTGGGAGTACTGAAACAAGGTCGGATAAGACAGGGAGTCGTTTAAACCAGGGGGTCGCTAAGGCAGTCTCGACTGTATAATAAATTGTAATCCTACAACATTACAAATCGCCCCCACCACACACATTTTGAGGCAGTCTTGACTATAAGGCTTCAGTGGTGAGTAAATACGAATAATACGCCACTCGTGAGAATACTGTTTTTAAAGCTCACTCGATGAAATAAAATTTCATCTTACATACAAACAAACAAATATCCTCTATATGAAAAAGCTGATGCATAATGACTGAATTCATGGCACTTACGAGTCCAAAAGTCTGAGAAATAAAAACAAGTTAACAGTTAATGTTGAACAGATGGTGTGTTTATAGCATTTCTTGATAAATCATTGAGAAACAAAAAACATGCGTTGAAAACTACCTTTGATTTTGCACCTTGATTCTTCCCATTTGCCTGTGTTCATGCAAACTATTTTCTCTTGATTGGGTTTATACCCGGGAAAACATTTCAAAGTTGCTGTTGCTCCAACCTTCGATGCCGAATTATTGTCAAGGATTGCTTCTCCTGACGATTTTTTGAAACAAAATGACTTGGAGCATTGTAGGCTCATTAGGTTCCTGCTGCTCTTCTATTGCTTTCTTGAGTATCATCATGTGATCTTCCTCGACAGTTTCATTATACATGTAGTTAGTATCCAACTTCCATATATATCTTCATTGGTGAAGAGTTCACAAATAGTGCAACCATATGACAAAATGTCTGAAGCAGTGGATTTTTTATTTACATTTCAAAATACATTCTGGTGCCATATATACTGGAGTTCCCTCGATAACCTTTGATATTGTGGATGTAACAGCAGCATCTATGATGTGATGGCATATAGGGATTAAATTACTGCATTCAGTGGGTTATGCCAGTTCTATATTGATTTTGTCAAGCATATTTGTCCAGCCATAATCTACAACCACTTCAAAAGATAAGATAAGATAATCTTTATTTATAGTCGGTTACATAAAACATATAAACATTAGCTATATAAGCTATTTTCCGACATAACTGACTATTCTTTAACAATACAAACAAACAATCTCTATAAAAGAAAATATAAAAGTATTAAGAAGATCAATGTACTTTTATGAGTGACTCTGTAAAACAAATTAGATTTATAAGCACATATAATATGGATAAGATAAAATTAATTGATTAAAAGCAAATATAACACTAAAATCAAGCATCACTTCCCTAGATTTTCAGACAGTGTTATTGTTGTTGTTAATCCAGTATTGTCCCTGGTACTGGTGTAAGTGTGTACATTGATTGTAATATTTGCAGCATTTTAGCATGTGTTGTGTCATTGTCTCAAATATCAATGTTTCTAAACAGTAAACTTCAGAAGTTGTTTTCTGGCATATGCTGTCTTTTCTGTTACCGCAGAATTCAACTTCTAATCTGAGAATGTATAACCAACATTTTTTTTGCACCAGGAATTGACATACTCTGAAACAAAATGACCAAAATAAAATCTAAGAAAAATAAAACACAAGAAAATATATTATGCAAAACAAATCTATTAAGCACTTGCAAACTCAACATGGTTTGGAGCTTATAGTACACTGAATGTGCTACTCTGATGTTCATGTCAAAAGTATTTTAAACTAAATTTCACATGGTACAGGCATTAAAAACTTTTGTTTTGCTAAAATTTAATTAAAAAAAAAAACCCAAATAATTAACCCTTTAAAGTTGCAAGTTTTTCACCATCAAGCAATTGCTTGTCCTCACCCCAAGGCTTAGGCCTCCCCAAACCAGTGCGTTGAGATTGTGCTATTTCCTCACTAGAGAAGACATGGCCCAATAAATTGTACATTAAATGAAATGCTGCATTATCTTTCTTCTTTGTGACAGACATATGGATCAACTGACAGAATGATAGTCTGTTCCTATAATCTAAATCTCGCTCAGCAGCAGGGGATTAAAAATTCAAGATTCAAAATTGATCAATCTCTAGTCAAGAGCATGAGTAATATGAAGCAATATTACTTGTTAACAGTTTTTCTTTAGAGTGAAAAGTTCCCTGTCCTGTTGTCTGCTTTCTTCAAGCATTTGTTTTTTAATTGAAAGCAAATCTCTTCCATAGACAAGTCTCTGTCTTCTAGCTTGGCGCACATTAACTCCAACTGATATAGCTAGACGCAGCTTCCTTTTTGTACCTGGGAATAAACATGTTTATCCATCACAAATGTATTTACTCTACGGCCACCTGATCACCACACACTTGTCCACCTCTTACTAAGATATAAGTTCCTTCTATTCCATTTCTTTTGTTATGCATTATTTCACGATGATTGAATTGTTGCTTGGTTCCTGCGTTTATGTATTTTTCATTTTCAACAATTTCATGTTCTGTTGTACTTTTCGTTTTGTGTTGTTTTTCTGTCTGTCTGTTTGTCCAGACTTCCATCTATCCGGTTGTCCGTCCGCACTACCAAATAGGGATAATATATTGAAAGGTCCATCGGGTATATTGTAAAAAAAAAATAAAATCTTGTATGGTGCACATAAAACACTATTTTGTCAAAAATAGTGTCATTCTTCTATTGACATAAGCAAAAACAGTAATTTAAACATCTTTTTATTGTTGTTTTTCCTTAGTATAGCTTTCATGTTAACTTTCTTGATACAAATGTACCAAAAATATCTGCCATCTTTAGAAAATAAAAATATAAACATTTATATCTGTATTGTCTCATTTTTTCTTGGCATTCACTTTCAACTGATTTCTGGTTATGGGAGTTTTGCCAGCTGTAATACAATCCTGGCATATTGGACGCACAATAGAGTAATTGAGCATTTCGACGAAAAGAAAAATACAATTTAACAATATACTAGCAAATATAT